GGGAAGGGGCCACGTGACCCCCCTATTCACGTGACCTCGGGGGGGGGGGGGGGGTCACATGACCTGGGGGTCACGTGACCCCCCAGAGAAATTTTTCCGCTAGATTTAGCGGGAAAACTTTTCCGCTAGACTTAGCGGGCATACCTTTCCGTTAAATTTAGCGGGGAAATTTTTCCGCTAGATATAGCGGGGAAGTTTTTCCGCTAGATTTAGCGGGGAAACTTTTCCGCTAGAGTTGGCGGGGAAACTTTTCCGGTAGATTTAGCGGGACAATTTTTCCGCTAGATTTAGCGGGGAAATTTTTCCGCTAGATTTAGCGGGGCAATTTTTCCGCTGGATTTAGTGGGGAAATTTTTCCTCTAGATATAGCGGGGATATTTTCCGCTAGCTTTAGCGGGGAAATTTACCCATAATGCACTGTGCGGTTACGCCGACGGCGACGCCGCTTAAGCCGGAAACGGGCGCCTAAGAGCTGCGCTCTAAAAGGCAAAAACGAAAATCCTGGTTGTAGGGAAGATTACAAGTTGTCATGCAGAAAATTCAACTGCAGTTCTGCAGTTAAAAAATCAATAGACTAAAAATTGAAAGAAAAATCAACTGCAGTTTCAACATGTGAAAATAAAAAAATCTGCGAATAAATGCACCTGCCTTCGACTGTTCGATATTCGATTCGATATTCAAAGCCAACTATTCGTGTTCGAAAATATGAATATTCGCACACCCCTTTCTATCCGTTTTATTTTTTTGCTTTTTTTTAAAAAGGTCGTCGATTCTTACAAGCGTTTGCATCCACAATGCTTGCAAGCTCTAAAAAATGCCCTTCCAAAATTTTACCTACAGAAAGTCTGTGCTCCTTTGCTGGAAGTCAGCGCCCGTTTATGCGTTTCTTTATTATTATTTTTGAGTTGGGGTCCTCGTGTCTTTGACGCTTTTGAATCTTTTACCATTATTGACCAACGAGTGTAAACCAAACTTTCATTTCGGTGACAGAGGGCCTGTTTCTTTTGATTCAGCTTCGTCGGCAAAAATCTGTTCTCAACCCTGCTTCAATAGCATTTAAACTCTCACCGTGCATACGTTACCACACTGCAAAAATTAAAGCCCTAGATACGCATACACCATTCCAAGTAGGTCGATGCAGAAAGAGAAAAACACTCTTGAAATAGAGCGCTGCTCCAACGCTCCGCTCACCCTTTCCCTCGAAAGCTCGTCTGCTTCACGGAGTGGACTGCTAGAAAGCACGTGCGCAGTGTATGGAGGCAAGCTGTTTCGACAATGTTAGGTGCGGCTTTGATATTATAGCGTGTTTTCGCACGTGACATGGCCTATGGAAGAAAAGAATCGACCGAGCAGCTCTGTGCTCTAATTGGTTGTACAAATAACAAAAAAAAAAAAAACGAAAAATAAAAGAAAACGTAAATTAAACGCCGATTCAGTGTGCGAGTCCCACGCTGTCAAGCAGGGTGAATGTGGGTGCGGCATGTTTATGCTGCACCGGTTCCGCGCTGCTCCGGAACTGCGATGCTGGTGGCTGGCGAATTTAAACAGGAAAGGCCATCGCAGTCGAAGTGTCCACGAAGATGACCGGGCGACGTTGTTGCGTATTTTTGCCATCGAAGAGCAGCCGTGTGTGTTCCGACCATTTCTTGGACGGCCGGCGAACTGCAGAGAACCCCGTGCCGTTCCTCCGCCTGGGCTACAACCGAGAGGTAAGCAGAGGGCGGCTTAGACATTGAAAAAAGGAAACAGTTGCGTGACTCCTGGTCTACTGATTTAATAGTAAACGCCGCGACACAGTTTGCGCACAAATAATTATCACGGGAGGCGATTATAGAGGCACGTCAATGGGCCAATATTGTGACAGTGGATTCCAAATCAGAAAAAAAAGGATCCGTCGCACTTGCTGTTTGCACTCGCTATTTATATATCGATTCATATTGAAATTTAAGGTTTCCTATTGCAATTTAAGCAGACGTGGCAGCGCAGGTCTGAGCCGCATAACTGCGCAGTTAGTTCAAATGTTCCCGGTGCCCCCAAGCTGCGACAATTCGAGTTCAGCGAAAATTCACATGACGTAATTCGTGCCACCCTGGCTTTTTTCAATCCTCAATTTCACTAGCGATCCCCAATTTCACTAGCAATCGAAACGCCGAGTTCGGTTTGGGAGCGACGACTGCCCCAGAACCGCGCTAAAAATTACCGACAAAAAGATGCCAGGCAAGCAGGATGCACTTTTCCCCATGCCTGACATACCAGTTAGGATAGTGCTTTCCTCCATGGACGAAGACGATGAGCCGAGGGCGCCGAATACGGCAGCCGTGCCGGCAGAAGCCGCTGCGATCGGTGTGACTCCGTGAGCAGGGTAACAGTCCAGTAATGGCGGTCGGTCATTCGGGCGGGTTCAGATTCGCCCAAATGCCCGGATGAGGATAGGCGGCGCTACACTCGTAAAAATGGCGCCGGCTAGGAAGCCCGATTTAGAACGGTGTATTGAATCATCACTCAATCAGATTGGAGAGGGATATGGGCGCTCGTTTGCCCTTTCTCTGTGAACTGGTTTCGGGTTTAACATATAAAATACCTTCAAAATTTATTTTGCTACAACTTTTTTTTAGCAATCGAGGGTTGGGCTGGATTCCAAATAACGAATATGTGGCGAACAAGGGAAGAACACTGAAGAACAGCTGATGAACTCTACCGGCCGCTCAATTCTTTTGTGCGTGGGGTGAAGAGTAATTGTTCTGACGAAACTCGCGGAGTGAACACCCCAAGAATAAATCCATCGCTAGTTCGCAGTATCGCTGTACTCTCGTTTAATAAGGTCCAGCCTTTATAAATAGTAGAATTTATAACAGTCAAAGTTTCAAAAATCATGATATCGCTTTTATTTTTTTTACAGGCTACATAAGCAAATACTGAGGGCACCGCAAAGCAGTCTTCAACTTCTCGGCGGCATGCACGTTGGCCGGAGCCACGCCGCTCTTCCTGCTGCCTGTATGCAGGGCTGAGCCTTTCTTTTGCGCACATCCACATTGTCTGTACCACCACAAGAACCATCAGCGGCCTCATCCAGCCTTCTGCGGAGACCAATAGTGCTCTCTCTTTCACCGCCACGAGGCGGACCGGCTCAAGGGCTCTTACGAAGCCGATTCGATGGTCATTCCTAATGTAGACGTGCAAAAAATCCGGCCCCGCGTGTGAACGTGCCGCACGTATCTTGCTTACTGTTAGAGGACCATATTTTAGGCCACGTCCGTGGACGTCTTGAACCAGCCGGCCGAAGCTGGGACCGGAGGGAGTGCTCTAGACGTAGCCTATCTTGACGATGGACTCGCAGACATTGTCCAGCGACCAGAGCTGCTCACTTGCGTTTCTGAGGAAGGGCTAGCAGGCATGTTGGATCCAAGTGGCGAGGACAGCGTGTGTAACTGCGCGCAGAGGGACCAAGCTGTGGTGTCCCCCAGAACAGTACAGGCGGCTCGGTGTGCGCACGAGCCTCACCGCTTTAAATCCGCCATGACGTCCATTGAGGAGGTGAACAGCACTGTGTAACGAGCTTATGACTCGCTGGCATCTTGGCTTCACCAAGTCTTTTAGTGTGAAACGTGTCTTTGAGTGTGTACGTGTAAGTGTGTGTGTGTTTATAAATGTGAAAGAGAGAGAGAGAGAGGGAAAATCGTAATATAAAGCGGTGTAGAGAGGAACGTTCGAGGCAACTTCTCTCTAGGGTTTTCGGGTGTTGAAGTATTGTGGGACAGCAGGGTAATAAAGGTGGGGGAGAAAACACTTTAAGGCGACGTTGGAACATTGATGTGGAACCAACGCTGTCATTATATGCGTGTGTGTGTTTTTCTTTTGTACAGTCCCGCAGAACTATAAATAGCTCCAAGCGAGCGAGTCAGCATTTTCTGAGGATCGCTAGCCTGCTGGTTTTTCTTTGTAGTACTGCTGACTTCAGGACTCGTCTATGTGAAGCAGACCGGGGGAGCCCAGCAACGCAAAGAAACTGCGGTTATCGTCCGGGGATTATCAGCGTGGATTCATTAAAGGGAGAGAACGTCCGCTCGCTTGGAGCTATTTAGTTTCTGCGTGACGGTACATGGGCATTCTTTATCTGTAGGCCTTCTGCGTTACCCAGAAGGCGCTGCAAAAAGGGACTTGTTAGGACTTGTTTTGGGGGTAAAAACTGCAGAATCTCAAACTCTCGAACTGTAGAAACGTGCGTGACCTGGTGCGGAACGCGATCACGAGTAAAACTCAAAGAAACAACAAGATTTCGAACGTCGTCGAAGTACAGGTCAAAGCTAAGACGCTAAAAGTCTGAGCCAAAAAACGCCGTGTCACGCGTTTCTATTTAGAAAGAAAAATGTCAAGGAAAGTAAGCGTCGGAGCGCTAGATTTTGTGACGCCGCCACCCAGAGATAAAAGACGCGTACCCTAGCGGTGGTGGCGTGATTCTGGCACTTTCGATTGTATTAAGGCATTTAATCTAGCCGATTTATGAAGTTGAACAGCTTTTTTCCGTTCTTCAGCACCAAACAGAAAGAGAAAAAAGCTCAGGTAAGGCGACACAAGTAGTGCGCCACGGAATTAGGTGAGCTTGTACTACCCAAAATGAGGGCGCCACAGGTTGTTCAAAGCTTGAGCGCAGGAGGCGTACGGGCCTGGTTGTCCGCAGGGTAATTTTTTTTACTAGAAAACACGATTGCAAGATGACGGCATCTGGCCACAAATTCAATTAAAGTGTCGATATCAGCGACAACGTGGAGATTTTCTTGTTTACGAATGAACGTATGATCACGTAACAACTGGGCATTGCGCAGCTGAACAGATACCACGCTGCTCTTAACCCTCAGTGACCACGGCTGCTTTTTATTTTTTTTACGTTTCGCTTTCCAATTAGTTGTTTCCATTAAGGAAATGTCCAAGGACATGAAGACCCGAAGAGAAGAAGTGAGAAGGTATAGTACTGTGTTTTGTGGCGAATTTACGTTTTGTATTTAGGCAGTTCCCTTCAGAATTTGCTTCTGAATCTTTCCCGTGCCGGTTTTTGGCAGAAAATCGTGGAACACTACTCCTCCGTACAGGCGCTTGTAGATTGGAACACGATCTGAAAACAAATGGGAAGAAATATACGCACTCCATGGCGACACTGTTAAACTTTGTTATTGCTTCGAATGTTTTTTTTCTTCGCTATACTAATAACAACGTAATGTATAGCCTGTTGCAGCATACCATCTGCAGGAGACGCTTTGCCTCGCATCAATTACCCCTTCCCCCCCCCCCCCGATTCCTGGTTATAACCCCATGGTTTTTAACTTATTTTACTCACTCAACCGCCTTTTCTGTTGAATGTAAACGTCGACGTATATTTCGTATTAATTGTGGCTTCGACCAATTCCTTTCAAGCTTACTTAAGACGACTGTAAGAGATTTACTTAAACCTATTCGGCTTCGTGAACGAGTACGCACCTGAGCTCTGCAAAAATATCAAACCAGCAGTCGTAGGAAGCACGCAATACAATCCACAACGTGGCTCTCGAAGAATACCCAATACAATCTATAACAAGGGCCTGAAAACAATTCACAACGAGGGTCTTGGTTCCAGTTCCGGACTAATAAATTGAAGCTTTTGTGATTATATTCTTTTGTTGTTGTGAAATTGAATGGGCATAAAGTGTGCTCTATGAAAACAAGTCAGACAAGATTCGAAGTCGGTTTTATATGGGCGTGTGGCCGTATGTTTCGATTCCAATTTACCTGGCGGCTAAGTTTGGTAAGGTCTAAAATATTATGGTTGGCTTGTTGACATGCAGATTAGAAATAAACAGCGCGAAGGTTAAAAGTACCACTCCTGTACTTGATTTTCGGGCTATTTATTTGTATTACAACTATATCCACGTACCCTGACGTGCCGAAATCTGAGATATTCCTTTTCGAATGAGAGATTTAAGGGCTCTTATAATGGTTTTAAGACTTACGCCAGGCGGACCACTCTTGACATACTGTCAAATAATACTAGAGTCGTTATGACAAAGAGCCTAAATATCCCAGAAACGTAACGCCTCGCGTGAACGCGTTAAGTTTGATTATGATTGTTCGCTGTATGATTCAGTTAGTGCAAACGCTGCATTGTTGTTTCTTTATTTTGCTTTTACATTACATCTATAAACACCTAGCGAATTTTGACCCTCCCGACCAATACCAGGGCATCGATAGGTGCTGACGTGGGGCACAGCTTACGACGAGTTTTTTTTACGACAGCCTGTTGACGGTAAGAGACAAAAAAAGAGGACTTGGCGATCTCTCGTTCGAGCTTTCTGTCTCACACTGTGTGTAGACTATACCTGCAACGAAGTCTTGCAGATCATTTTCCGTGGCTCTTATGGCCTTGTTTTGCGAAGCAGGCTTGAGCACGACGAAGGCTTTGGCGACCTCATTATACTGGTCATGAGGAACGCCAGCAACCGCTGCTTCAGCGACGTCTGCGTGACTCAGCAGTACAGCTTCGATGTCCGTTGGTAAGACCTGACGTCCCATGCACTTAAAGGAGTCCTTCATTCTTTCGACGATGTAGAACTGCCCGGCGTCGTCATAGTATCCGATGTCACCTACGGATAAAATCAGCGAGAACGAGTGAAAAGTCTCGTGTCAAGGTGACTTTTTTCAAACGGAGTTAGGCATCACGTACCGCATCAGAATACAACAGGGCATATACACCGTTTCATTTTAATTCAGAGTTTTAAGTTATTAAAAGCCGGCAGAGCTATTTTAACGCGGTCGCTGCAGGTAAGGGATGCGGCCAGGGGGACATAATATAGTAAGATAATCACCATAATAAGTCGCTTAATTATGTAAAGTTTGTTCATTGACTTTTTAATTAGAGAAAATAAACGTATGGTGATTGAAAATTTGCTGAGTATCACGCAAAACTACTGTATGCATCAATTAAGTTAAGAAACATTTGGAGTGTACCATCACGCTTCCCGCGCCCATACAAAAATGGTCTATGGTCGTCTATGGAAAACTATATGGCGGGCTATCACCCCTTATCGCCCTCTATGGTCGGCCATAGAAATCCATAAAGACAGCTACAGCCAGCTATAGAAAAATCTATGGCCCTGAGCCTAAACACTTAGAACCAATATATTTTCTTTACCGGCCCATTGAAAATTCTTTGGCCACAAATCTAAAGGCAGAGGACCAATAAATTGTCTTTGATTGTCTATAGAATATTTTATGGCCCTGAGCCTAAAGACTGGGAACCAATAAAATTTCTTTAGACGCCTGTAGAAAATTATATGGCCCCGTGTTTAAAGACAGCGAACCAATAAATGTTCGTTTTCCGCCTATAGAAAACTCCTTCGCCCCGAGTTTAAAGACTGGAAACTAATAAATTGTCTTTACCCCTCTATAGAAAGATTTGTGGCCCCAAGTCTAAAGACTAAGAACCAATAAATTTTCTTTCCACGCCTACAGAAAATCACTACCGGCGCTTACTTTTTTTAGTAAAAAACTCCACGATAGAAAATTAAAGCAATACTAAATTTTTGTCAGGCCGGTGAAAAACTATGACCCAAGATATCCTCTCTGCTGTTTCAACGAGTCATGAAAACCAGTAATATTGTTTGTTTTAAAAAGCCATTAAAATACTTATGCAACAATTAAATTTAATTATTACCCCCCAGAAGTGGAAATAACTTACACTGGCGCCGAACACTGCAATCAAGCAATTGGTTGGTTGCAATCTTCAGTACCAGTGTACTGCATGTCATCACTGCATTGTCAACGTGATTCATCAAACTTATTAAAAAGATAATTAATAAATTTTAGTTAATTAGCCTAATAATCTACATTTGCTTTTTTCAGGGTTTTGAATTAAGAGATGGGGGCTATTCCAATAGACAATCCAAATAATGTATTAAGTACGAGTAATATTTGCTCCGCCTCTCGGATTCAAAAATTAGACTGCCATATTACAGCCAGTGCGAACGACGATGACGGCGATGACGAAGACGACGATAACGAAGACACAGACGTGTGTGGACGCTGCTTCAAGACCATCAATGGGCTGCAGCAATATATTACCTGTGCTGGGACCTGCAACCGCCGGTTCCACTGCAGATGCGTGAATATTGCCGCTGCGGAGTGTGAACTTCTCGTTCAGAACGGAGTCAGCACCTACGAGTGCCACGAGTGCACCAAACTGCCCGGCCTCGATTCGGCTAAGCTTTGCTCCGACGATGTGCCCTGTTGTGTGGATCCCAGTGGTGATGCAGGCGAAGAACAGCCTGACAAAGAGGAAGGACCTGGAGACAACGCAGACCTTCGAACGATCATCTTTCAGCTTTGACGGAAGGTTGATGCTCTGTCATCTGAAGTACAGGCCCTGCGAGCAGACAATGAACAGCTGCACCTTCAACTTGCCGGTAATGCGAAACTCCTTCGTAAGTCCTTAGGCACTGGTCCTCCTCGCTCCCCTTTGTTAAATCAAGAAGCTGCACATCCAAGTCATATGTCAGCGACTCCGAGTACTACAATTAATGTGACGGTGCCATCTTGTTCGACGTCCTCATATTTCGAAGCTAGACCTACCAGTTACGGGTCCACGCTTCGGACCACTACGACTGGTAGTGACATGCAAGCAGGGAGACAAGTACGCCCCCTACCAGTTTGGAACCGTGCACCTAACCTGGAGCATGGGGACCCCTTCGTAGCTCCGACCACCGGTATCCGCGGCAGTCGATCGACTACTGACGAAGACTGATACACCCTTGTGCAAGAGAAGAGGAGGGTAACGCCCGCCACGGGCACGAACTCTACAAGTAAGCTGACGGCTATACCTCGACCTCCGAGGAGTAGGGGCTCTTTGTATCTCGGCTTGACCCTACAATTACTGTTGACGACATCGCAGCAATACTCAGCAACGTCGTCAAAACATGTGTCTGTACCCCACTTCCCTCTAGACATATGAGTTATGCATCGTTCCACATCGCTGTAGAGTGGGACGATTTTGACAAGGTGAATGACGCGAGTGTGTGGCCCATTGGCTGTCTCTTTGGGCAGTTTTTTGGGTTGTTGAGGAGAAACGAAGAGGCATGATGAGTGAACCATTTATTATCACAATGTGTGTGGTTTGAAAACTAAGGACGCCGAGTTTCTTTCGGAGGCTATGTCAAGCACGTATTCAATCATATGCCTAACAGAAACTTGGCTTGTAGATGGAATTTATAGTTCTAATTATTTTCCACCCAAGTATGAAGTATATAGACGTGATCGTGACTATGTGAAAACGGGAAAGAGCTTGGGGGGAGGTGTCTTGATTGCTGCAGATAGGAGCTTGAAAGTTCACCGGAGGAGCGATCTCGAGTGTTATCCTGAGAGCGTGTGGATTGAAGTACTGTCTACCGATGGTAGAAACTTTCTTATTGGCAATTACTATTTTCCGCCGATGTTCGATCACATTATTTTCAGTGAGCATATCAACTTCCTGGAAGAAAGAATTGACTTCTCTAAATTTCGAGTGCACATGTATGGCGATTTCAACCTTCCTGGGTACGATTGGGAGTCAGGCAGCTTCTTAGCTAGTCATGCGAACGCAAGGTTGAAGCTACTTTGTCTGTTAGACTTCGTTCATTTCAATGGTTTTGAACAACGTAATACTGTACGCAACTGTTGTGGAAACATACTTGACTTTGCCCTGGTCACTTCGGCTGTTGATATCAGTCTTGCCAAAGCTCCGCTATCTCGCGTAGATAACTGTCATCAACCTTTTGTTGTATCATTTTTCTTTCCACTTGCCAAGCGAATTTTCCATCCACAATCATGGTTTTCCTACCCCAACGGTGATTACTATTCATTGTATCAGTATCTTCGGGACTATGACTGAAGTAGTGTTCTAACTGTCAGTGTGTTGAATCATCAACTTCCACACTTTCGACTATTGTCCAGGAAAGCATGCGACTGTTTATACCAAAGAAGGTTTCTCGTAAAAGTGACTATGCCATGTGGTTCTCGAAGGAACTAAGAGATTGCTTACGGCGCAAGCTACACTATCATCGCCTCTACAAAAAAGAAACTGGCAATGTGGTTTTGTACACGAGATTTAGTCAGTGTCGTGCAGAGGCGAAATAATTGTTTAAGCGAGATAAACAACATGCTGACATCCCCGAGCAATCATTGAGCACACAGCCACAGTGTATGTGGAAGTTTGTCAAAGAGAGCATCAAAGAGAATGTTACCACGATCACATTGCGAGATAATGAGGATTGCGTCTCTGACCCTGTTGATGTAGCTAATATTTTTGCGTGCCACTTTAGTGCTTCTTTCAGTACAAATAATGGCCTAATGCCTAGATCGAATATAAACTGCCTGGATTTTTTTTACTGTTGCTTCAATTAATGAATCTGAAGTCTTGGAGGCAATTAAAAAATTGAATCCAAAGTTATCTACGGGAATAGATCGACTTCCCAGCTTCATAGTAAAAGGCTGTGCTCCACTCCTTTGTCCAGTTTTGGATCAAATCTTTAACTCATCACTTGCATCTGAAACATTTCCCACCGCTTGAAAGCGCTCTGCTGTTGTTCCATTACATAAATCGGGTGATCGATCCATGGTTAACAACTATAGGCGAGTCTCCCTCCTTTGTCGTTTTTCTAAAGTTTATGAAAGTGTTTTGCACACCCGCCTTTACGCATATTTTTGTCGGAAGATTATTCCGGTGCAACATGGTTTCATGAAAGGCCGCTCCAAAGAATCAAACCTTTGTTCCTTCCTACATCAGATTGTACCATCTGTCCATAGCGGAGGACAAGCGGATCTAGTCTACTTTGATATGAGCAAAGCTTTTGACAAAGTTAATCACCGATTACTGTTGAGCAGGGGTGGGCAGTATTTCGAATGCAAGTATTTGAAATACGTATTTCAAATACTTTGTGTATTTTGCATCTGTATTTAATTACAAATTGGGTAATGTATTTTACGTGTGTATTTAAATACTAAAACGTGGGTATTTCAAATACATTTGTAATTAAATACAATTTTGTGGGCAAAAATACATCCCTCAAATTTATTGCCACGACTCATTTTGCTCATCCTAAGACGTGTCCAGAACAGGAAGAAAACTACGTTCTGCACCAAATGCAGTGTCTCTCAATCAAGCACAAGCGTTTAGTGACTTTGCGATTACGGTGCTAGTCCAGGGCAAGAATAGTAACGAAATCGACGTTCACAGGCAGACTGGCTAAATAAGTGCCTGTGAGAACTTGTGATGCTTTCCAGCGTGATTTCCATCCATATTTTGCCTGGAACATTCTAAATGCGCTGGTCGCCCAGATTTTCGTAACTGGTGCGAGTTGTAACAATAAAAAAATTCTCTAGCTAGTGCTGCGCGTCTTGGTCGTCTCGGTTCTTTGTTGGTCTATACCTAAATGTAATCGAGAAAAAAAAGCTGCTTGAAGCTCTGTACTTTTTCCACCTATCACGTCCAAGCTGATTACATTTTTTTGTGATTATATTTCAATTACGTTACTAGAGCCTCGCACACTAACTCCGGAGTGTGCGATGCAAAATTAAAATGAGATACCCAGAAACCGTTGCAGGTGCCCTGAAGTCGCTGACGCAAATTTTGAGGAATATATTTGGAAAAGTATTTGGAGGAGACCAAATACATTTGGTTGTATTTGTATCTTGTATTTAAATGTTTTTTGAATGTAATTAGATTTGTAATTAAATAAATTTTTGACGAACTATTTTGTATTTGTATTTCAATACATATTTGCATGTATTTTGCCCATCCCTGCTGTTGAGTAAACTCTGTAGTTACGGTCTGTCCCTTAAGTACTGTGGTCTCCTCGATAGTTACTTATCTCATCGGCTGAACTTTGTACGAGTATCCGGCCGATTATCTGCTCCTTTTTTATCTACTTCTGGGGTTCCTCAAGGCAGTAACCTCGGTTCTTTGCTGTTTTGAGTTTTTGTAAATGATCTAACTTCCTGTATTAAACACACACGATTTTTGTTATTTGCTGATGATATTAAGTTGTTTACAGCGGTTAAAACGGTTGACGATTGTGAATGTCTTCAGCGCGATATAGATTCTATTTCGGCGTGGTGTTTTTCAAATGACCTACTCTTAAATGAGTCAAAGACGAAAGTTATGTCCTTTTCTATGAAGCGTGAAATTCTGAGTTTTCCTTATGTATTAGATTCCACCAATATTACTCGCGTTAAGGTCATCCGTGATCTAGGCGTTTTTATGGATCCTGCAATTAATTTCAACCATCACGTGATCACAATTACGAATGCTTCCTTTCGAGTGCTGGAAGCCATTACACGAGTGACACGCGATTTTTCTAAACCACTTTTTATTTTACGTTTGTTTTCTTCACTGGTGCGTAGTCCGGTTGAATATGCCTCAGTTGTCTGGAACTGTATTGAAGTGACAAATTCAGGTTTAATTGAGAGTGTTCAATGCAGGTTTGTTCGTGTTTTGTTTGATCGTTATTTTCAACCGAATTATTTCTATAGTTGAGAGGATTTGTGAACTCGTGAAGTTAGACTCGCTGCACAACAGGAGAACAATTCGTGAACTGACATATTTGTATAAGATTGTAAACGGTATAATTGATTCCCCAGAGCTACTCAGCCACATCTATTTGCACGTTCCTCGTCAGTCTTGTAGACTTTATACTTTGTTTTATCCTATCGACTTTTACCATGCTGCACCCATGACACGCCTACAACTGACTTATAACCATTTAGAACAGATTTGTGCGAATGCTAGCCTTGATATATTTGACAAAAATCGTAAATTTCGACAGTGTGTTGAGGCTATTGTTTTTTCCTAACATTTCGCTTTTATCCTGTTTAGCGTTGCATTTCTGAAAAAAAAAACAAGTGCCCCACTAAGGAGGCGTCAAGCTGTTGGTGGGTCACTGAAAATAAGATTAAACATTAACATAGCGTTTGTAGATCTGCGTTGTTGCTGCTGTGTGGGGAAGTGTTCTGCTAGTGTTCTGTGTGTTCAAAGATGTATGTATGTCTATACATAGATTTACACATATATCTATACATATATATTATGCATACACCATGTAGCGTTCACAAGTCGGGGAACTTAAATTTTTTTAGGGTTCGCTGGCTAAAGAGAGCCGTAGGGAAAGCCATAGAGTCTTTAGTCAGCCATTAGGAAAGCTAAAGAGCGCTTTGACTGGACAGCGATAGGGCCATAGACAAAGCTAAAGAGGCACATAAGGGCGACCGTAAAAGATGCTAAAGACAGCCATAGAAAATTCTTTAGCTAAATGGGCCAAATAGCTAAAGCCGACCATACAAAAAGTTTTCTATAGCCGACCATAGGACATTTTTGTATGGGCGACTTTAAATCCTCCACATACTTTACGCGCGGAAAAACGTGCCTGCGCGGAAAAACGTGCCTGCGCGGTATTTCCGCGACACCCGCGCTTTTATGCCGCCAGCTTTGCGCACGGTTGCGCGAGTGGTAACGTCAGCGCACCATTACGCTTCCCACGCGCTCTAAAGTTTTGGGAAATTGTCCAATCTAATAGTTTTTTTACGACAAATCTTTTTTTAATGTATAAAAGGCGAACAATATTTGTTGGTTTGTTAATCGACTTCTCGCGACAATCATCTCCCTAAATTGCATCCTCCCTGCCGCGTAAGTCACCAGCACTAACAAGAAAATTCCCTGAATACGAAAGCGAAACGCCAGACACCAGCGTTTCGCGTTCCAAAGCGTTCGACGAGTTCAGTGGAGACAAACACACCATTGCACTGAGGCTGTTTTTCGTAAATGTATATCTCTTTGGCTTTTTATGCATATACTCCAGTGTTCAACATTGCTTATTTGAACCAATGTTGTAAAAGTATGTCATATTTCGTTCGATTCAAGGTTTAAAAATATTATTTGGAATACTGCCATAGCCGCCGTAATTTAGAGGTTGAATGAAAATGAGAACTATTTTCCAACGGCAACCTAGAAATAAAAATAAAGTTCATGCAAGCATAAGGGGTCGGTATAAATCAGTACTTCTGCCTGGCGTCTTAAAACAAAAAAGTCAGTCAACCATCAGCCATCAGAAATACGTCTGTCCATATCTTTAGTAAATGAAGACAAAGGACGGGAGCGTTCTAGGACATTAAAATAAGTACTGTTTATTCAAAAACTCAGTTTTTATCTGCGTACCTGATAGCATCCAGCCGTCAGTGGTAAACACAACCGAAGTGGAGTCCGGGTTGTTGCGGTTGCTCGCCAATAGCGCCGGCGATCTGATGTACAATTGCCCTTTTTCTCCTGGCCCGAGTACTCTTCCTGTCTCCGTGTCAACAACCTAGCATCGTGGCGAAAAAAAAAAAAAAGAGTCAGTGTGACATATTTTTAATAAAAAATACGTACACTTGATCTCGGAAATGCAGCAAAGCCTTCGCTGCCATGAAATGCAGTTCAGAGTCACAGCATAGATGATGCCAGAGTGGCAGTTCGTTCTCTCGCCGCAAGAGCTCGAAATAAACTCGGTATCAAGCAAATGCGCGCTTGCGAACGGGCCTTCAAACTCCGCTCCCATCTTACATGTGAGAAGCGCGAAAAAAAAAAAAAATTGAACGTGTCTTAATCCTACCGATGAAATTCGGAAGTCGCAGAACTTGCAGCGTATCTTCCAGCATGCTCTGGGAGATCCTTTAATTAAGCCGCTGTCATACTGCTCACACGTCACATAAAAGACATGGTGTTTCCTCGAGGACATGATGACAAAATTATGTGCGGATAGCTTCAAGCACCTTTGAAACATGTGTTCTTCATTCTCATGTATGCTTCAAACATGTTTCCAGACAGTTTCTGCAGACATGGCATGGTGACCGTGAGGGGAAAAAAATGACTTAGAGGAGGAGGAATCCTATGTATGTCTTTTTATACTTAAACTAGGTGGCGCAAACTAGCGCCCGTTACAAAGTGTACAACTATTACCATCCACCCATCGATGCATGACCAATATGAGAGGACCGTCGTACAAGGAAAAACACGTCCCGGGCAGTGTCTGCAAGCTGTCTCTTGTAGGATGTGCTAGCGGTGTGACCTCGGCTGTTCTTAGCCACGTCCGGACTAATAGCGACTTTCCTTACGGCGTTTTATCTCGTTTAAGAACAATGCGATTTTCATTCCAGCATGTGGGGTGAGGAGGGGAGAGCGCGATTACGCCACCCGTCCCAGTACCGTCTGAATCACCCTGGACATTTATTCTGACCGCAGTGATAGAAAATGCGTCTCAGTGTACCCATCCTAAATATAGATATATATAAATATAAATATAGCAAATATGCCAACCTGGTGAGGTTGGGGTACCTCCTTTGAAGTAGTTAAAGCTCTGTAGGGTGGATGAGATTCTAGCGACCCCACCGAGCTATCGTGGGAGGGAGAAACTCCTTTCCGCGTTTCGAGCATGCGGTTCATGACGATTATGTCTGCGGCATCACTAGCTTCGTTAAAGTCTTCGACACTGATCGCAGCAGCGATGAGAGTGATTGTTAAGAAGAAATGCTAGAAGCTGTTCATTTTGACTGCGACCTGCTGGCAACCAGCTCCAGCGATGGCGAGTCACGGACGAACTCGCCGTGATCGCCGTCGTCAGGGACGATCTCGCAGCGCGTGCAAGGCGGAAGGTCAATCGGGGGGGGGGGGGGGGGGGGGGGGGCGAGAGCTAAAATAGCGGTGGCGTTGCCAGAGTTGCGTGATTGGTTTTGCTCGTACCGGGACGGCACGAGCTGAAGCGATCATGGGGGCGCCTAGACTGAGATAACGTTCATGAGAACGTGGTTTAGAGGCACCATGGCTGGATGGATGGATTTTCATGGCTCTACCCTTTGAAGCGGGCGGTAGGTTGCGCCACCTAGCCTAAGCTTATAAAGAGAAACATGATTCCTCCCGCCCTTCTAATAGCAATTTTCTCTCCTTAATTATCTCTAGGCGGTGTGGGATATCACCAGGATGATCTTGATAAAATCGGGCAAGAAAAACTGAAAACATCACCCCCCACCTCTTCCCCCAAGCGAGAGAGTCGCCAAATTTCCTCTGGTCAAACCTTGTCACCGTTACCCTAGCACCGGACCCACTTCGAGGCAGTGTTAAGACTTTGGGCTGGAGCCTCGCGCGAGGGTTGCCCAATTTTCCTCCATCCCGCTTTTCCCAAGCAGTGCTAGTTAGTTGTGTATCATTCAATTTTCCCGAGGTAATTTTCACCAATCTTCAATCGCCTCTTTGTGACTGTAATCGTTTTCTCTTCCGTCCTTCCATCGTCACCAACAAAACCCAGGGCCCGGGCTAAATCTATCACCTCCTCAGGAAGGGCAGGGCGGAGACCCGTGCACTTCAAAACTAAGTCCTCTAGTGTCTCGCTCTCATCACGGCAGGCAGCACAAGATGCGTCTGTCCCCTGAAATTTAGCCATATACGTCCTCGTCCTGAAAACTCCCGTCTTCACCTCAAACGGTAAAGAACTTCCTAGTGAAACGTCAAACACATTTTCCTTTCTTATGTCGTGTTTTTGTTGCTTGTACATCGTTATTGCTGATGTTTCCTGCATTCTTCCCTCCCACATTTGTCTTCCTGCCCCTTTCACTTTATTTTCCACTGAAGTAGTATGCTCAGACCCCATAACAAGTGGGTAAGAATTTAAATGTAAGGTCTTCGGTTCAATTTGTTCATTTTGTGTTTATACTTTTCATGTATAAATACTTGAACACCTTCCGTGCCCACCGCGTATCATTCATTTCGGTCAACAATTGTTCAGATTTCAACATACGAGTAGACCGTTCTCACTAAGCGTTCGGCGCATACGTGACGTCGCCGTAAGTTTACTTCACGGGCGGCAGACGTCAATGAATGCGGGAGCTGGTGGCGTCTCGTGCTCCACAAGCACAGAGCTTTAGCAAGGTTATTGCTCGTGCAGAAAGACTAAAGTTCCCTCGATGCATTACGGCAGTGGTGCCGTAGTCAAACTGGCTGGTGAGATCGGTCTATTGCCTCCCTGCTCTCAAAAAACGACCAGCCCATGTCCCCCTGCACTCCCTCATTTGGTGTCTTTCCATGTGCTCCCAGTGCCAATCTGCCTGCGTTTCCTTGTCGAATTTCTGATTCTGATGGAACCTCTGATTTCATGAATAGTACCCCATTGCCAGAAGACAGGCCTGGTGCCATTACTTCTTTTCATGTACCCCTGACCAGTTCATATCTATTGAAGTTTCATAGCGCCTTGAGCTTCATGGAAGATAAATTTCTTTTCCCTTTCCCAGTTATATTCTCCTCATGTTCCTCTAAATATTTCAGCGATTTATTGTGCCAGATTCCCAGATTTTTATATTTTCCAACATGGTCTATTACAAAGTCTTGTTTCTTAAGGGGTTCCCTCTTTCATATTTTAACACTATTATTACAAACTTGTCACTACTAAAACTCAAGTCCAAGGTGTCCCCTTCCTCTCCACATATTCCAGCTAGTTCCTGTAATGTACCCTAGCTATGTGCCATGAGTACTATGTCCTCCGCATACATCAGTTATGGTATTACCTGTATTACATTTCTCCCTCGTTTCATATAACTCACATCAAAGCCTAAGTTAGTCTGCTCTAATTTCTTCTTTTTCATTTCACTAAGATACATCATGAAAAGCAAAGGTGACGGTGAACAGCCCTGCCTGAGCCGTCTTTTGATTGCTGCGGGTGGTGTAGCTTCTGCTTCTCATGTTTTAAGTACCTTATTGTCTTGGTAGAGCTGCTGAAGAAACCTAACTGAATTTGAATCTAAATTATACTCCTACAGCTGACCACAGAGTTTTTCCTGCTCACATCGTACGGTAACTTGATGTTCAAATAAGAAGTTAGGTTAGTTATTGTTATTTCAATACATTGAGTGGGGACGATTACGTTCTCTTCCAGTCTTATTCTCTTCGGAATACATTTTTGAGCTCATGCAGTATTTGCATATCATCTGCCCATTCATCCATTACCTGTTTTACTATCTTCGTAGCTAATATGTAAAGAACTGAAGTTACCGTTACCGGGCGAAATGACTCAATGATGTCTTTGCCTCCTCTGTCCTGATATATTAGTTTCATTTAACTTAGTTAATAATTAAGTATTTCTCCTCCCACAATTTATTGATTAAGCACATACCGTAGCCTAAATTTCTTGTTTTTTTATTGTCTTTATGAATTCTATGGGTATATCGTCTGGGCCTGTCGCTGTACCTGCCTTGTCAAATTCCCTTGTGGTCTTCTCCATTGTTAAAACATTTATGCTCCTACTCTACACTGCTGTTGTCAGTTCTATCCAGTCTGCTTCTGCTCAAGCTAGGAGAAAGCAGCTTTGATATTCTGCTTAGTATATTGCCGTGCCTCTCACCCCTCTAACTCTTCTCCCCTCCTGTGTGGTCAGTAAGTGTTGAAAACCCTCTGTCTTTCTCCGCAGTGCTTTAATGTACTCCCAAAACAGTTTTGCTGGATTGCTATCTTTTTAATTTATTTCCGACATCCACTGGACTCCTGTACTTCCACTTTTGGCCTGTACTAAAGCTGATGCGTCCTTTTTATGAACTTGGCAGTTTTTCCATTTTGATGCTACTTCAGCTGTCAAGGAGCCTCTTTTCTTTGCCCACCTGTGCTCCCTAGATGCCTCCTGACGCCGCAATATGGCTCCTTTGACCTCTTTATCCCCCCAGCATTTTGATTTGTGCCTTCGTTTTTGCTTTCCTATTTGTTTAATTCGATGCTTCTCTAATTTCACTTTAAAAATTCATTTTAGATTCTCACACTTCGATTATCTTTCTGGTTGTTTCGATACTGTGCTCTCAATACTTTTAAATAGTTCTTATATTTTAGCTTCACTTAGTTTCGGCTTACCCCCTTGTTCCTGAGCTTGTTCTGGTTCAAATCGACAAATTTAATCTTCATTCTTTTTTGTGGTCACTCTCTGTGCTTTTTGTACTTTCTTCATCTATTTTCATACTTCCTAACCTGCCAAAACATTTGTGGGACAAGAGGCCGTAGTCCACTCTTGCGTGAGAGTTGTTTTGTTCCCACGTTATTTTCCCGTTACGTTTCACTTGTGCATTAACCAACACTAGTTCCAGGGCATTAACTAACACTGTCATAAACAGTGTGGACTGGTCGTCAAACCAAAAAAATTGAAATGCGCAAATTGATTAGCGCAATTACTAGAGCTCCACAAATCGCGAAACTTGGTGTATCTACTCAATAGCTTATGAAAATTTTATTTAGAGAATAGTATATCCATTTAATGTTCGTGTCCCACCCTTAGTGGAAACGAAGACGTTTGAAATATACCACATTCGAATATGAGTGTATTTGAAGTACAGTTGATAATTGTAAGTACACAAAATAGACCAAAAATGTGCAGTTCTTTTTTTTTTTTTACTTAGAACCAAAATATATTTCTGAAAATCTTTTTTAGAATACCTTTATTTAAGTTACATTTGAACTTCCTTTCATGCGTTTTGAAATATGTAGATTCTAAATTAGTAGGCGAAAAATACCTTTCACATAAATTTTTTAAAATATCTGCTTGTTTCATGCAAAATATACTCCAACCCTTATAAAATGCAGCTATCAAAATATGTGCAGAATACTCTTAAAATACCTGGAAATCGTGAATATTGTTGTGTTATACGCTAAGTATGTTTCGACTGCAATACTTTGGTGTTTGACTTAAACTACCGAAGTATTGGAAAGCTCGCCTATCAGAAGTTTACCTCAAGCAGATGTGGAGTACACTGAAGTGCCTAAAAGCAACATTTGATTAGTTTGTCAATTGAGTAGTGCAGCGTCGCACTGAAAAATCAGCCCAGTTTATGGTATTGTTTCCTTTTTATATCAAGAACACACCTGATGAGTTTCTTGCGCACCAATCACAAACGGGGCTCGGGAACTACAACCACAACACTTGCTGATGCTGGAAAGCTTCAGCAGTGCTGTGAGCAGATATGTTTGGCGTGGTTCTGTTTCCACAATTTTAGTTCACTGAATGTATATACTCACCATTGTACGTGATGTGAGTAACTTTAATATAGCGACGTTAATGACCGTAATAAATAGTCAAGTAGTAAAAAAAAGAGCAAAAATAACTATTTTTAAGTGAAGAAACTGCCTTGACTCGCTTCGTCCTGAGTGGTGCTATGCAGAGGAGCAATAACATTTCTTCTAGGAGCTGTTTTTGTGGATATTCTTTTAGCGACTGCGCCGAATTATTATTAGTTGTACTAATGCTTCTTAGAAAGAGATATCGTCCACGAACTTCAAAACACTGTTTCCTCCTTGACAGACTCCCTAGGAGAATATCGAATACTTGGAACTTTATTAAGTGCAAAGGTGGTCACCGGCCAAATGATTATCTTCAATATGTACACTTTATAAGGCTCTAGAGCAGTCAACGGGACTGTGTTTCAGGTGGTCAGTGCGGCATGGTGTATGCGTTTGTGTTCGTTTATAATGCATTTGAATGTATTTAGTAGGTGCCTTCAATTACCACAGGGACACCATTTACCAACAAATTCCGAAATGAAAGAAAAAATTGTGAATCCGGTTTTTAATACACAAATGGCATCTTGAGGGGGAAGGAATTATATTTTTGGTATATCTAAAATCTTTTCTGATTAATATTTATGATATATTTTGAATACCTTACGCGCGTATTTCGAGTGTGGACAAAATAATACAGAATACAAAATGAATATTCATATTCAATATACTTTAACTTCGTTTCAAGTACGGCCTCTTTTTGCTGAGGGTAGCCCCTTTAAGTCGAGACGGAGCCGACGCTACCAGCTGATGGGACCAGACAAGCAGAGTCTAAAGTGCAAGTCGCTGGGACTTTTCTGTTTATGATTGGTCCAGTGATGATAGAACATGTACGTAAACATGATACACACCATGATTTGCGCTTTTTACGCTGTGAGATTGGTGCCGCCTTCTCGTTGCGTCAGCTGAGTATCGACTTTATGTGGAACAAGATCTAGCCCTGCCGTGTCTTCTCTTTGGCGATACGCAGTACATAAGGTGTCTCCCTACGTTATTGGTACGATTAAGGAGAATTCATATTTATCTCGGTGCCGAGTGCACTGCGTGTCTATCTTTATGCGAAGTATGGAGTTTCGTACAGTGCTCATCAAAGTGACACGGAACGCGCAAACTGTGTCTTGTCTCGTGGCGGCGATATCCTGGCGGCAGCCGAGCAACGGTTTCGTGACGTAGAACATAAGGAACCATCTCAAGTTCTATGTCAAAAGCCGTTGTTGAGCTTACTCCGGGATATCGCTACCGTAAAGCACAGACAGTTTGAGTGTCCTGTGTAAGTTTGATGAGCACTGTACATATGTTTTCTACTGCAGGAAAATTGATAAATGGGCTTGTTGGTACATGTTTAAGTAGAAAAGCGCCTCAAAAATATGTGGACACGGGAAAGAAGGGACACGACTCAGCGCTACTTACAACTTGCAATCAGGTTCCCGAAACAAAAAAGCAAACTCTTTCTCAGTTAGGTGCCGCGACGGTGCACTTGTGTAGCTCTTCTCGTTCGTCAATGTTGAGGGCGATTCACACACTTGCGTTGAGTCCGTCCGAGTGCGACTGCAAAGACTTGCGACGATAATCCTTTTACGGGCTGCAATGGCAACAACTGCGTCGGCTCCAACAAAACCGGTCTTTACCATGTTTTGTTGGAGCCGACGCGGCTGTTTCCATATCAACTCGTAAAAGGATTAACGTTGCAAGCCGTTGCAGTCGCCATCGGTCGGACTCACAGAAGCCTGTGAACCAATATTTATGCGATAGGAGTATCTCCCCCCCAGTTCTAGTTGTAAGTTTTCCTTCATTTTTGTATCTTCGATATTAGGCGCACAAAGACAACTGTCACAGTTAATGGAGAGATTGCCCGTTGGGGAGCTTCTGATAGATAGGGCATGTCCACCTGCCCTGTCATTTATGCACCTCCCCGTTTGCTCAACGCACACACAACCGGAAGTTATGGGCATTTCGTAGAAAACAAATGTTACCGCAAGTACTGCGCTGCGCGACCTATACTTATGAGAAGCCGCCTCAGCGGCTTCTCATAAGTATAGTTTTCTATGTCATCAGTAACCGCGGGTCACATGGTCACGTGGTTGGCCTCAACCTATGGTGGCGTAATCATGTAATCACTACACGTTATGTCGTCACATAAGATATAGTTGAGTGACTTCACGTGACGTGAGGGAGTGATATCACGCGAAATCATTATACGTGGTCACGCGACTCATAGTCGCAACAATCACGTGGCTTATGGTAAGACTAGACATATTGCCCATAATCACCGATAACATGACCTATGGTGATTACGCGATCATGTAACCTATAGGATTACCCCGTCACGTGACACCTCCCAACATCGGAGAATCGAGAGTTTTGTGGCAACGTGAGTACGCAGCCATTTCATCCATGGTAATCAAAGCCGCTTTGCTGGCGCACGGGTAGTTTAACGGACTAGTGAGCTAGAGGTCCGTGGTTTGATTCCCCGCCGAAGGACAAAGCGTATACTGTTAAGACACCTGGCCGTGTTATCATATTTTCGTAAAACCATTTCGCGACGTTCTCCGCCTAGAAACCGCCCCTAAAACATAGTCTGTGTTAAAGTAGCGTTTCGGAGAATGTCCGCTTTGTGTTGCTAGCGCTAAAGTCGCTGGCAGGATGAGAAGGGTAGGGAGGAGTTTAAGAAGCTCGCGCCTCCAGCGCCAGCGTCTTACTTTTCTAACACTTTTGCGTTTTGGTGAGCTTCGAGCGTGTGCGTGTAGCCAGAACATTGCACGAGGCAGCGATCGCGTACTGGAGGCCGAGCGTTCAAGAGAGACGCCCTGACGTCCTCACAAAGTATTTGTCCTCACCCTGTTGGTGCATATGCGAAGCGCAAGTTCGTCTGCTTCATTAGCTGGGGTTGTAGAGACATTTGAATGCCGATCGCCAGTTGGCTCTGATTGAAGGATAGTGGGTAGACCTCAAAGCAAGCTGCATTTAGATCTGCCCACTATCCTTCAAAAAGAGTCAAATAGAGCTCGGCGGTCTGACGCCATAACTTCTTCAAAGAAGCAGACGAACTTGCAATTCACATAGGAAGAGAAGCTTAGAGCGGGGAGGAGAGGGCAGCGCGGTGACGTGAAAACGCCGATCTCTGTTTGGGATGATTGGTGGTCACTCTCACCCGCACATCATGAGAAGACGATCTGGCTAAGGCATTCTTAACGAGCGACGCCGAGTCTCGCTGCGGCTGTCTCTATACTCGCTGTTCAAACGTCGAACGCAGGCCTCCGGCGTTCGAACGGCAGTCCCAGCGAAGAAGCAGACGACGCACATGATCGTTATGATTGAAGGCAGAACAGTGCATTTAGAAACAAGCTTTGAGTCTACCCCCTAATCCGTCCAATCATAGCTCGCCGCTCTGACGTCACCGCACACTTTCCTCTCCTAGTCTCCCTCGGTTTCCCGCATTATAGCTTCACGAGTCTCTAGCCCATTAGATTTTTTCTCTCTCGATCATTTTCTCCGTTTTAATTGCTGGTTCCAGCGACGATCTCGCATGCTTTTTAGCGTATAAAAATGTTATGTACTGGAAAAAACAAAAATGTGCGCCAAAGAAGGTAAACGAAAAAAATCTGTTACCTTTATTTGAGTCATGGGCACAGGAAACCCAATTGTGTCGCAAGCGATCCGGTTTTTCAAGGTCGTGCAGATCATGCCTCCACCTTCCGTTGCCCCATAGGGATTCCTGAACCCTTTCAAATTGAATGCGGAAAGAATTTCCCTGGCCACCTGTTTCGAGAGGAGAACGCCGTACGCCTCCACCTTGGTCACGCTGTCGAGCCTCGCGCTCGTTCTTTCCAATTCTTTAACGAGCTGCTGTAGTACCACGACGGGTCCGGAAAGAGTCGTGACCTGGATAGGATGACAAAACGGAAGTTAGAGGATTTGCGTTACATGCCAACGGAAGCGTGATATCGCAGAAAATTCGTTGGCTAAATCCCCGTTCACACACTGCGTTTGCTTACGACCGAGTTTATGTGATCTCTCACGACGAAATAAAACTAGACAGCCTGTACTACAAAGAGTTTCCAACTTTTCGATCGAAGTCACGTGAGTTATGGGCCGTGTTTGCAATACCACCTGCGACGAGATGCCGAAAGGCTGGATCGTCTGCAAATGTCCCCGCCTTTGCGCCTCCTATCCTCCTCGCCACGTGAAAATGTAGCTCAGGCGCATTTCGGGTTGTTTTACGGGGGAGGCGTCGGACAGCAAATTGCAAATGTTCACCATGGTTTGAGCTGGGCCCTCTCTTTAGTCTAAGCTCTCTAGAGAACAAACTGGCACGCGGGCACATTCTATGAGGTGATTCTGGAAGTACATTTCACTAGCGCGAAGCTTTTGCCTGCGAGATCAAACGTACGTACTATCCATGAAAAGTGGTTGTTTAAAACATCATCACAAATTTTTTTGAGCCAAAATAGAAAGTATTATGCGATAGAAAAAAAGGAACTATACAGAATTGCCAACGGTTCCAACTTCCACGACTACTGGATAGATAGCGGCACTGTGCTCTCTTGTCGAGAGCCGTTTATACCAAGAAAATTTTGCCTTCTTAAGAAGATTTTGACAGCCTGGCAACCACAGCAGCGTGGTCTGACAAGTGGGGGATGACAACTTTCGTCCGCCATTTTGTGGCTGTGTTTCCTAAGAACTTTATGCGATTTCTCAGGAATGAACGAGACAGAAAAGTAAGGCCATTTCGTGTTATCGCAAAATCAGCTGGCTCTAGCGGGCAATAAGCTCCGGCCACTGGCCAAACTCTCTCAGTATAAACGGCTCTGCCCTTGTCCAAAACTTGGGCACTTACTCAGTTAGAGCATGATCGTTCTAAAGGAAAAGAGCCGCGAGATCATCATCATCATTGTCGTCGTCGTCATCGTAAGAGGTTTTACGAGGTTGAAAGGTACACGGTCATAAGCAGCCACAAGTGTGTCAGCCAGCATGCAGACTAATAAGTTCAACTCAGTTAAGAATTAATCACGTTAGTTTTGCTCGGAGAAGAATGCGTCGCACATTAAGGTCATTTAAGAATGTGACATTAATTTTGGCTAGGCTAAGAAGGCGTTGGATATTAAGTCGCGTTAAGAATTAGTTACATTAGTTTTGCTTGGTTAAGAAAAAGTTGCATATTAAGCTTAGTGAAGAACTGGTTAAGAATCATTTACCCGTGTTAAGTTCAGTTAAAGATTAGTTACATTTGTAAGGTCTAGTTAATAAATTAGAAAGTTAGTTGAACAGTTTTTTTTACAAAACCTGTACCTCGTGCTTACGGAGAGTATCGACCATTTTCTGGACCGGTGTGTCTCGTGAAAGAACAACGGCGGTGGAACCGGAGCACACGATGCTCAGGAAATAGCGGAAGCCGAAGGAAAACGTTAGTTGTCCCCACGTGGCGATGACTTCAGTCTCGTCGAAAGTTATGTCTAACCTGATAAAGAAAACAAAAACATACAAAAAATGGAGCAAGTGCTTATGGCATTTAGGTCTGCGTTCGCATTACGCTCGGTGGCAGGCTAAGGATGAAAGCCACACCTCCGACGCGCGCTCTTTGCCATTTGGTAAAAACCTTTTACGGGACGCGCGAGTTTTGTTATGTTCACCGGACCAAATATAAGCAGCGATAAAGCTTCATCACTAATAGCATGATTATTCGTTGCGCATGTAAATCTTACAAAATAAAGGCACTGCTGTGCAGTTTATAAAAGCCGCACCGTGCAGTAAGCAATGGACGCTACCAAAAGGCAAATGCATATGGTGTACCTATGTTTGAGAGTGCTTCCAACGATCGGGGCACGACGTTTCCAATACCAGATGCAAAGAGGAGGCAAATGTGTCGATCGTCTGCAAGCGACTCCGCATCTCCGCCCTCCATCTTCTCCGCCATACAACTCTGCACGCATGCGCATGGGCGCCTCATCCGCCATTGAATTGCATACTTTTTCCGTGACTTAAGCTGCGACCTCTCTCAAATTTAGGTTTCTTAGGTGCAGAACGCGACTACAGTGCCACCCGTCGGTCCGCGGCAATAGAACCAAACATCGAAATTTTACTTGCACCGCCACAAAGTTGTAGGGGGCGCCGCCGTCGCGTCCATCGTCTAGGTCTGTGAGGATCTATTCAAAATGTATGGTAAAATCCTGCAAATAAGCGCAAGACAAACAAACAAAGAAAACACACACACACACACACACACACCGTCGAGGATGTAAACAGACGAGATACTTTTCTGTTTCTTTTTTTGCCAGTGTTTTTTTGTCGTTTACCCACTCGATCATGAACCAACTGGTCCAGATTGCCACTTTAATGCAACATGGTGATGTTTTAAGGCAGAATACAGTATTATAAGCCGTAATCTGTACGAAAAGATTGACATACGAAACCGACACAAAACTCAATCACGGAAGTTACGTCATCTGGTAAATTTAGCAGAAGGCGAGCGTGTCACGTCACGTCAAGAGACTATAACATATGTGGATCACAAAAATGTTGTTAGGGACGTCAGAAAGATGGGTTGCTGTACAGTATGATATGCAATATAAGCATTCAAACTTGCAACGAAAAAACTTGTGATAGATATACGAATTTGTTTTAATTGTAGCTGGTTTCATCATCAATAAAACTATACTCAACGCTTTAAATTGGTACAGCTCATATAGCGTACACCCTATACAAAAGGCCGCGAAAATGGCCCTGAGCTACGCAATAATAGTCTGGTATGAAACTGTTGATGTGAACGGATCATAAACTCGTCATATTTATTGGAATATCATACCTGGAGGGCTCTAAGGCTGTCACGAAGCTGTACTGGGTTGCTTCAACAACTTTGGAGATACCGGTGGTACCCGATGTGTAAGTCAGAGCGGCCAGTTCTTTCTTGACGTTAGTCAGTGGCACTTCTTGGAACTCACTCTCATTCAGGGTTGTAGACTCTGACATCGACGTGCATCCTTCGGACTTCCCTACGACGAAAATTTTCTAAAGGCTCGCTTAGTAAGTGAGGATGCCTTACTTAGGATACATCAGAGTCATCATGTTTCGTCAGCTGATTATTTTTCGAAATGAAATGTGTTCTCTTCCTTTGTTATTCCTGGATGTATCACGAATGGCTTTTGTTACTCTTGTATTCCTATTTTTAAAAGAAGCTATTTTATGAAATTTAAAACCAACACATTTGACATTTTATTTGCTTTTTGTCATTGTAAGTATCTGATTATATTGTAATGTAGATGAAGGTATCAGTAAGCAATTCTTGCCTGAGGTCACGATATTGTTATAGGTGCGCAATGCCCCTAGTACAGACGCTCTACACCCCTATGAATAAATGAATACTTCGTTTCGAACGTTTTTAATGTAAAATACGGGATAGGGTCGGCTATGAATGAAAACCCGAAAAAAAGAACACAAACGCCACAAAAAAAGCGCAGCGGCATAATAATAATAATAAAAAACACAATCAGCGTCACACGAAAAAGTCACGAGAGAGCCGGGTTTTTTCGGGATAGCGCCTCACCCCGATTGGTTTGCGTGAACATTTATGTTAGTCGCAACCAATTGCGTTCTCGTCGACAGTCGCGCTATGAGCCTGGGTGAAAAGAACCAAACACAGATCTAACGTATGGTGATTTTTGTCGGGTGTCGCAAAAGTACTGCTGCAAAATATTTTGCATCTACCTTTGCTCTTTTTTTTTTTTTCAAATTCAAGCTGTTTTTTTTTTTCTTGCCAAACGAAAGACGGGCATCGGGCACGCTCCAGAGGATGACTGAGGATTAATGTCGACCACCTGGGGATCTTTTGACGTGCATCCGTAAGCTTATTTACATCGCGCCTTTTCCGCAATAAAGGCACGTTCACACAGTTGCGACCTCTTGGAACCGGGTGCCTTGGAGACTGACTCTAAATATCTCTTACAACGAGAGGACACACAGGCGCCATCTTTTTTGTAGCAGCGTAAACTTGGCGGTTCGGCATGTTTTCTTTTTCTCACGCGTATCATCCTTTTCTTCTCGGCTCGAAAAACTTTGTCAACGTTATAAACGAGCCTTCTTTTATAGGTATTACGCACATTTGACCTCGGAAATCCCGCAAAACTTTTGCTCTTGTGAAATGCAATTCCAGGGTCACCGCATAGATGGCGGCAAGGTGCCAGTGTGTTTTCTCCGTCCTAAGAAATTTTAAGAGGTTTTAACGAGTCTCGTCTCTTTTGGTCGTACTCGGTAGCAAGTGTGTGAACGGGCCTTAAGCCTCCGTCAGATTGCGGGCCCCTCGGCCGGTATTCGAACCCGCCACCTGGGGATGCGTAGGCCGACACTTTGCCTCGGAGCTACTCAGGCGTTGTTTTTTTCTTTTTTCTTTATTATCAAAGTTATTCAGGCTTTAATTTTTCTTTATTGACGGAGCCACTCAGGCAGCTTGGTTCTTTTCATAATGAATTATTATACAGGGTGTTTTATTTCTTATTTTCACCTTAATAAAAACAAAGGAGCTGTTTTATGAAACTTTTAGCATTTGCTCACTCGACTTTCCGGCCACTCTGAACAGGGTTGCTTGTGCTCTTAGCCTACCAGTAAAAACATATATATATATATATTAATTGACTTTCCAAGTATTGATCTTAGAGGCCATGTTGCATTTACGCAATTCAAGACCAATCTCCATTTTATATATTCCAATCGCACGATGATAAAAACGCACAAAAACAACCGGGCACTTCCGGCTAAATTATTTCACTCCTGCAAATTGTTTCAAACTGAAGCTAATGAAATAAGGGGGGACAGTGGCGTCGACATGTTCGCCCTTGCTTGGCGTAACAGTAACGACGTCATCTGTGACGCAGATGTCGTCGTTTCGTCTTACGTTTTCGCACATTGCGGTGGCACCTGCTAATCTTGGCGTGTTACGCTAGGAGATAACTTTGCAGTGTCATTTCCTGCTGCTCCGACGGGAAGCCTATCATTTCATTAATAAAATAAAAGCTGCTACAAAAAGAAAAAATAAGACCAATAGAGAAAGAAACATATTGCGGTAATGCCGGTGGGGCTGCCCGCGTCCCAGATGACGTATTTGCTGTCAGGTAAGTAAGGGCTGAGGTCCCGACATCACTGTCACTTCTTTCCTATTTAGTTTCGGCGTAAAATAGTCTGTAGAATAAAATAAAATAACCGGAAATGCCCAGTTTTTAAATTTTTTTTTTTTTATATAGCATTGTGCGATGGAAAAATACAGTATGAAGATCGGGCTTCAATTTCGTAAATGCAAAAGGCCCATTGAAGTCAACAATTAAAAAGTTAATTAAATTAATCTATTAATTAGGAGAATAACAGCGCAAGCAGCCATGTTACGAGTGGCCACGAAGTCGGGTAAACTAATAGCAAAATGAAGTGTCCTAAAGCAAGTCATTATTTTTTTAATTTGGTGCAGATAAAAAAGAAAGTACTTGTAAAATTTAATTTTTATTTGAAAGCGAGATAATGGAAAGAGGGTAGGAACATTGCGCCAGGCTTTTACCTTGAGATTCATTTCTTCCTTTATCTTCTTAAACTTATGACAATCTTTCGAGATTGAGAGCACATGAGATGCATTTCCATGTTTCATTCTGAGTAAAATTTCATCTAAAGGAATGTTTATTAACATGAAAAACATATACGCGGTTTTCTTTGAAGAACAAAATCATCATATTACCCTAGTTTCGAAGTACGAGATCACTTTCGTTTTCAATAGCAGTCTTTCGAAAGTTGAAATTGTATTGCTTTCGAATATATCAACAAAATAGTTTCTTGAAAACAGCGTCATTGAAACATCCCTCTGCGAAATAGAGACGCCTCTAGGGGCTATGGTGTATTCCAGGAAACAGTTGGCAACGAAGATTTTAGTTTCGATTTCCTCCAACGGACCGCGGTCAGCTGCAGTCAAACACCGAGAGTCTACACCACGCCCCACACCGCAGAGTACGTGTCCGAATCTTCGCAGGTGGACCTACGTGTGAAGGTGATGCAGTAAGTATACTTTTCTTCTCGTGACTTTATCAGACGGTGTTTGATTCAAAGTGAAGGCAAGTCGCGAGAAGTTTGGTAAAGAGGAAGACGAAGGGGCAGCTTGTAGCCAAATGAATCGGGGAAATGAAAGCGAAAAAAGAGGATGGGTTAAAGGGAACACTGACACCCCCCAAAATATTTTGTTTGATTTTTGCCAGCCGATTTATTATGGTTGTCAGAAGACTTCCCAATCAATATTTCGCACAACGTTACGTATATGTTCAATAAAGTAAAAAAAAAACTAAAAAAAAACAACATTTTTTTGAAACCGAAATTGAACTTGGACTGGGAAGGAAAAAGAAATTTAGAGGAAGAGAGAGTTGGCGGAAGTCACGTGGCTGTGAAACTTTTTGTTTCTACAATCACCGTATTTGTCGCCTTTTAGGAGCCACAAAGATGGGTACCATATTTCCTTTCTACTTTTAATATTGAGTGTGTGCCTCCGATGACCCACGACTTTAATTATATTTGGTGGTTGTATCAAAGCCATAGAAACCTCTCGATTCAAACGGGCCAGTTCTCGATCGGCGGCTTTCGGGCCGAAAGGAAACGAAGTTCGAGCTGCAAATTGTGTCCAGGGTAGTTGGGCTCTCATATGTTATTTACAAGTAAAAACCTTGGCGAACATAAGTGTCTCTTTAGGAACAATAAATAAAATACGACATATAGACATTGCGAAACATTGATGCTAATCTTGGCGTTGGCCTTCCTCGAAGCCTGTCGAAGTCGAGAACACCCACCCACAAGGAGTCGGTGCGTATGCCGATCAATATTAGGCTTAGTTTCGCTGAAGCGACCTGGCTTGCCTTCGCCTTGAATCAGTTACCGTCTGAAGACTTGGCGAGGTAAGTTACATTGAGTTGCGCGGTGCAGGTCTGCGATGTCCGCTTGCGGCAGGCCGCGGTCCTATGGGGGAAACTGAAACTAAAATCTGCGTTGACAAATGTTTCCCAGAATGCACCTGAGCCGCTAGCGGCGGCTCGGTTTTGCTCATTGTATATTACAAGATATCAAACTAAATCAGACGTCGCATAAAAAAAAGCCATGCTTTAGAATATTTTTACCCTCACCTGTCGTTCGCGATAAGGTTACGGAGACACTTATCAAGATGAAAGGTGCCTGATTTTTAATAAAAGACAATAAAAAAAGCAAGAAACTGGCTTGTTATCTTTGAACTACACCTTATCACACCTATTTTATCTGCAACCCTCCACCCCCCCCCCCCCCCCCCCAAAAAAAAAGTGTTAGTGGTGCCAAAGTAATTTACGAGTTTCTCACCCACTGTCAATTGCGGATCAGATAAGATGACAACGCCCCCAGCAAATATAACGCTGTACAAAGCGATAAAGCTCTCCACGGAGTTTTCAATGTGAACGAAAACACGGTCGGCTGGTCGTACGCCTTGTCTTTGGAAGCCGGCGGCGAACCTTCGAAACATACTGAGCATCTCCGTGTGCGTGATCTTCTCGTCGTCAATAATCTTCAGAAGAGAGAAAAAAATCTAATCACTGACGCGCCTTATTCGAATGATGTTCGTAGCTTCGCACCCGGGTGAAAGTAAACAGTGCACGAGAAATTAACACGCAGCGAACACCTTTCAGGAGTTTATCACAGAAGCGAAAAAATTCCTAAATTGCTGGGCTGTGGTCGCGGCGACCATACAGTTATTACAATAAACGCTAGAAGCTCAGCTGGCGCTAGTGTCTACGGGACTTTCTTTCATCTCATTTATTCCATTTATTTTATTTATTTGTATTTCGCAAGTGCCCCAAGGGGCCATACATGAGGAGGGCAATTCAACAGCATACATAAAAAAAAGGCAGAACAGTGAAAATATGAACAAACATCATGAAAAAACACAATAAAGTGAAAACACGTGGAAAGCATACACATCAATTTACGCAGTATTGAGCACACGCACTTTTGAATTCGTCGACGTTTACTAAAGACACAATGTTAGCTGAAAGTTTGTTCCAGTCAGAAATGGCCAATTGTAAGGGTGATGTCTGGAAACGTTTTTGTAGGGGATAATTTAATAGTATATTATGCTGATGGTCAAATCGAGGAAAAATACGGTGTGGCAGCTTTAAAAGTTCAAGCCTGAGGAGTGGGTTATTATAATACATGTTATGGATGAAAGTTAGCCTAGAAAGTTTTCTTCTGGTGGAGAGGAGTGGCAAGTCTGCTTTTTCTTTCAGCTGAGATACGCTTGTGTGTCGAGAATAATCTTTGTAAATAAATCTGCTTGCCCTGTTTTGAACTGACTCTATTTTTTTAATTAGGCAGTCTTAAGAAGGATTCCAGACGATAAAAGCATACTCTAATTGAGACCGAACATATGATTTGTAAGCGAGTAAACGAACGTCCGGAGGTGCCAGATATAAATTTCGTCTGAGAAAGCCTAATGACCTACTAGCCTTGCGGGCCACATAATTTACGTGATCTTGGCAGGGTAGGCTCTCGCTAAAAATAACTCCTAGGTACTTGTGGTTATTTACTTTTTCAATTGATAGATGACCTATTGAGTAGTTGAAACTTACAGTGGATCTCTTTGTGGAGTTCATGAATTTAGATATTGAGGTATTGATGTTCCTTTGCCATTGATCACACCACGAAGAGAGGGCGTCTAGGTTATGCGGTAGTGAGAGACACTTGGTATGGGTTTTGACAATTCTATCAATAACGCAGTCGTCTGCAAAGAGTCTGACTCTGGAAGAAATGCTAGTGGTAATATCATTAATATAGATAAGGAATAATAAGGAGCCCAAAACTATCTCCTGAGGAACTCCAGACTTCACATTAATGCTAGAAGAATCATGACAATGAAAAGAAACTGTCTGTGTTCTGTTGGTCAAGAATTCCCGAAACCAGTTTATTAAAGAACTATACATATTAAGACACTCAAGTTTTTAAGGTAGGCGTTTATGTGGCACGTGGCATTAGAAAAATCAATAAAAACAGTGTCAGTCTGAACTTGTGAATGCATGTTTGTGTGTAGATCGGTTAATAATTCATAAAGTTGGGTTTCGCAAGACCGGTTCTTTCTAAAGCCATTCTGGTTTATGAAAATGAAATTCTTGTCTACGAGAAAGCTCATTATATGAGTGTACAAAACATGCTCAACAATCTTGCATGGAACACTGGTGAGAAATATCGGTCGATTATTACAAAACAAAGATTTACTACCAGATTTGTAAACTGGAGTGACGATTGCATGTTTTAGTCATGCGGTATAATGCTCTGGTCTAAGGATTGTTGATAAAGCTGTGCAAGAAGAAGCCCGGCATGTGGCTGTGTTAGTTTTAGTAGCCTGGAACTGATGCCTTCGACACCAGGAGAAGACAGGAAGGGCAGGTTTTGACTTGTATTGTTAATACCATCCGGGTCAATTTTAATCTTCGACAATAAAAAAATGGTTGTGTGCAAAATAAAACTAAGGATCGGGTAAGACTATTCGGTGAAAACATCTCCGAAGTACTCATTAAATTTGTTTGCACAATTAATTGGTGATATTACATTTCCATGCTGGTCTAAAAAGAATTAAAAATTGTTCTTTGGGTGGGCTAATTATTTTCCAAAATTTCTTGGGATTTTTATGCATCAAGTTTGTTAGATCATTGCCGTAAAAGTTGGATTTTGCAACCTTGGTTTCACGTTTGCACAGCTCTGCCTGAGTATCGTACTGAGACCATAATTCGTCAGTATTCCGAGATTGTGCCTTTTTGAAGAAACATCTTTTAGTATTCAGGCTTTTTTTCCAGGGATTTCGTGAACCACGGCTTTTCTGGTGCATCAGGTATAGTACTTTTTGCAGCAAATGTAGCAAGTATGTCTTCGAACTTATTTTGTATCATTTTCCAGTTCTCTTCTACTGACCGAGAGAAAAAATCGCAGTTAAATTCGGAAATAAAAGTTTTTAAAACAGTTTATACCATCAATGTTTGCCTTAGAGAAATCGCGAATTTCCTTGGACTGTAAGGAGCATTTCTTACAGATGTACAGAAGTTAATAGGGATAGTCACGTGGTCACTGATTTTGTCAAGACACGTAATATTTTTTTTAAATATTCTGGCACAAAAGTGAACAATAAATCTGAAATTGCATCGTCCCGAGTGGGTTTAAGTACTACTTAGGTCAGGCACAATGATTGCAAGATGTTTAGGAAGGCGGATGTAAGCAAATTGTTGCGGCATTCGTCAGATGAATTAACAGTGGTCTGTTTGATTCCGGGAAAGTTAAAGTCGCCGTCAAGAAAAACAGGCGGTAACGAGATGTAACATTTCCAATAGAGGTGATCAACAAAATCAGACGAAAAGCTCGGCGGTCGATAGCAAGCACCTACTAAAATGAACAAGGAAGCAACCTTTTACACTTACCCAGATTATGTTAATGTTGTCATCAATTAAAATGGGAAGAGCAGGCAAATTTCTTTTGACAGCAATAAGGACTCCACCACAACGTGACTGCATTCTATCTTTTCTAAAAATCGCGAAGTCACGGTCAAGCACTAACTCATTCAGTAAATTATCAAAAAACCAAACCTCCGTTCCTAACACGACGTCGGGGTTTCACATTGCAATTTTATCAGCGAGAGCGTCTTATTTAGATAGTATGCTCCGAAAGTTGGCAAGAAAAGAGGACAAATCATGAGACGTACAGTGCTAATCACACTTGTCTATAACGCGCGAGCGTGCGACTCTCTCCGGGGAGCGCTAGACTGGTGGCATTCGCGGAAACTAAGCTAGTCACGTGGCGCAACATGGAACGGCCCGCTCGAGGGGTGTCCTGCGCACTCTATCAGCTGGCGGCGAACGCGGAAGGCTGCTCGCACGCTTTTTACAAACATCATTGCTCGAACAATAAACAAACTAAAGCATGAGGGCGTATCAACGATGTCGTCATCAAAGAACAAGAATATATCATAAAGCACTCTACTTTTATCGTTTATCAAGCTGATAGAGTGGGCAGGTCACCCCTGGAGCGGGCCGTTCCATGTTGCGCCACGTGACTAGCTTAGTTTCCGCGAATGCCACCAGTCTAGCACTCCCCGGAGAAAGCCGCTCGCTCGCGCGTTATAGACAAGTGTGATTAGCACTGTAGTTTTCTCTTTTTAGGGGCGATGCTCCTTAGGGGTTAGCCATGTCCGTATGTCCGTCCGATGTTCGGCTTCGGGGGCTCGTGCTCCTGCTCGTGAACTCACGCGCTCACGAGCATGTGAGCACGTGCTCCCGTGCTCGTGTAAGGCAAAAAAAAAACAAAAAACCAAACAACAACCGCATTTTCACGTGGTGAATGACGTTGGTTGGGGCGAAGCTCTGGTTGTGCTTGCCTGCGTAGGCGGTGAGCAGCAGCATGCCGAGCCTTTCGTTCGTTTTCTTCCATGTCAGAAAGAGAATGTGTGGTATGGAACGTGGTTATATACGCATTGGAGCATTTGATCGCAGCGTGACATGGATGAAAACGAACGAAAGGCTCGGTATGCTGCGGCTCAGTGTCTACGCAGACAAGCACCACCAGAGCTTCGACCCAGTCAACATCATTCATCACGTGGAGATGCGGTTTTTTTTTTTAGTCAGTTCGTATTTTGGCTTGGAATGATCCGTTTCGATTCATCAACGGTGCCTGGTTGGGGATCGTACAAAAACACCTTGTCATTCATAAAAAAGGTTATCAAAAACTAGACGCACGCGTTATTGGGAACCCGATGCGTTTTTGCGTAGTCCCAAAGCTTTCTGCGTGCTTCACGTATCAATGGCGAGAGATCTTCCTGAATTCAAACCCAAGAAGATGCTAGGTTTTTCAGCTTGTGTGCATTTTCTAGAATCGTTTGATTGATTTTGAAGCTAAGAAATCTTAGAATGATGGGGCGGGGGAAGTTTGCGTTCTTTGGACCTGCCCGGTGGGCTCTTTCAATTTCTCCTGCCTCTAGATCCAAGTGGTCTTTGTCAAAGCAAGTTATTTTTTCTTCAGACCTAGCCCAGGTTTCCCTGGATTCCTCTGGAATGCCTTTGAATACAAGATTATTCCGGCGGATGCGGTTAGCAAGAGCGTCAAGGTTGCTAGCAAGGTTTTGCGTAGTTTCAAAGTTAAACGGTATTGATTGGATTCTTTCTTCAAGGGAGCGTAGGTCTTAAGAGACTTTAGAAACTTCTTCTTTTGTTCCCGACAATTCCTCAACCTTTCTATCAAGAGTCGTGACCATTCGCTTAATTCAACGACCCCTACAGTGATCGCGCTAAGATTTGAAAGACTTGCTTGGTGGTTTAACTCGGTCTTTAGGAGGAGAGCATCCGACTTCTCTTGCAACGTAGCAAGAGTTTGGCTGTTCGGGAGCATCGTTGGGGCCGGGGTTCATCTCTACGTGTCCGGACAAGGTGAGGAGTGAGCGTAATCACGCCAGTGCAAACGCAACTCTGATCGACGGAACAACAGCAAGAACTCGCGGGCAAAACCAAAAAAACGTTTCCACTTTATGCATTTGTAGGTGCTAAAAGGGAGGAAACATCCTATTCTTGCTCAATAAACACAAACATCGACACCCATGATTTGCCAACACGCACTGTAGAAACAAAAGTAGAACACTGGGATCTGCGGCAGGGTAGTATGGAAAATTCAACTTAAGAAAAGAGTAAGCGTGTTGTCCGGTTGCAAATTGAAGCAGACAGCAAGCAGTCTACATTTGCAGTCTTCCGGTGTATTCTATTGGGAAAACATACGTGATATATTGCTCTTCGCCGGGGAATAACAGAAATCGGTGTAGTTTTTTTCAACGTAACGGGTACTATGTAGCTTTATTCAAATTATAAAAGTGTAACTTATTTAGTCTATTTCTTTTACTACTGAGCGATGTTTAAGTTAGCAAAAATTAAGGCTCAGGACTATGTTGTACAGCAATGATATGTTAATACCAGCTATCAATTCAAGCAAAAAAAATGTAAGACGTTTTCAATTCTCTGTAACGACGAATTGGAGCACAGCTTTGAGTAGGAGGAGGGAGGGTACGGGGGATGGGTATGCGCCTCCTTCTTCCCGCTAAATTTAGCGGAAATTTTGGCAATGTTAGATGCGTGGACGTCATACGTCACGTGACGTCCCGTGTTTCCCATAACGACGACACATGTGGCATCACGAGGGTAGCGTTTTGACATTACCCTCGTGACCCTCACGGGGCTACCCTCGTGAGGGTTACCCTCGTAAGGGTAATCCTCTTGAGGGTAACCCTCGTGAGGGAATTACTCCGTGAGGCTAATCTTCGTGAGGGAAACCCTTGTGAGGGTTACCCCCTGAGGGTAGCCCCCATGAGGGTTACCTTTACGGGGGTAACCCTCACGCGGTTATGCTCACGAGGGTAACCCTCACGGGTGTTACCCTGACGGGGGGAACCCTCAAGGGTTACCATCATGAGGGCTAACCCTCACGGAGGTTACCCTCACAAGGTTCATCCTCATGAGGGTAACCCCGTGAGGTTACCCTTATGAGGGTGACCCTTATGGGGCAACCCTCAGGAGGGTTACCCTTACCCTGTGAGGGTAACGTGACCCCGTGAAGGTAACCCTCGTGAGGGTTACCCCGTGAGGGTTATCCTCACTCACATGAGGGTAACGTAAACCCCGTTAGGTTAACCCTCGTGAAAGTAACCTTTACGGGAGTAACCCTCTCGGGTGTTACCCTCGCGAGAGTAACCTTCATGAGGGTTACCCTACCCTTACTCCCTCCCGGAAGGGTAACGTAAACCCCATCAGGTAACCCTCACGAAAGTCATCCTCATGAGGGTAACCCACAAGAGGATTACTCTCGTGAGGATAACCCTCTTGAAGGTTTCCCTCGTAAGGACGGTCTCGGGCGGATAACCCTCGTGAGGGTTTTTCTCGTAAGGGTAACCCCTGTAACGGTTACCCTCGTGAGGGTAACCCTCAGCATTAGTTTCGATGTCAGGAAGCTCACGTAATACGGCTTTGCTTTGTGGCGAACTGTTTAAACATTTGTTGAGGACGGAAAACAGTTTCCTTTGATTTCAGATAAAGCTTCAGATAACTGACAACCATCGTTTTAAGCACCAAGATGTGTAAGAAGCGTAGCTTATTTAGTGGCTCTAGTTTAGCCCGATCGCGCATAGGCACAGAAAGAGAACGAACAGCTGAACTTCGCGCTCTTGGCGCTGCTTCAATGGCTTCATCAGCCCGTAGCGTTGGCTGCGCTCCGAACTAAGGTAAAGCAAAGCAAATATTCAGATCTTAGGGTTTCACAAGCCCAACCAACAAAAATCACTTAATACGCCCTAATAATAAAAAAAAAATTGCGGGTTTATTTTGACTAACTGGAGATCTTTTGACGTGCAACCGAAATCTCAGATTGGCCTCCGTCGGATTGCGGGCATCTCGGCCGATATTTAAACCCGACAAATATGAATTCATGGGCCAGCGCGTTGGCTCCGAGACACCGATTTAATGTTTTGTGTTTCGTTTTAGTATCATTGCCACTTAAGAGCCATCGAGGTGGTTTTTGGAACAAAATATAGTAAAATCATTCCGACAAGCATAGTTTGATTGCGAAAATGATTTTGCAAGTGATAAAAACGTTAAAATGTTTTCCCATACGTGGCGGTGTCTGAAATGGCTGAATGCATTTCATGGCGCCCATTTCATTTGGATTGCGTCGGGCATGTGTACCGAAGCACAATAGAACGCGCGCAAAATCAGCTGTGATGCACCCGCAGCCTCGCGCTTGTCGTTCTGGCATCTCTAGGTGTGGGCATCGAGGCATCTGACACCCTGAAATCTGGCGCTTTTTCTGTTTTTCACGTGGCGTTCCAAGCGGCACACGACGAAAAATACGCATCAAGCTGTTCTTGAACACGTGTCGCCATATGTACTTTTTTTTAAGGAACTACAATGTGCCGTAACTGAATGGGAAAAGTTTGAGGTCTTATAACATTCTTTACGTGTAATATATCATTATAGAAGTTCTGGAAATGTAATATCGAAGGATGCTTCATAATTTACTGGATCGTTATTTTGATTAGTTGACGTGATTCCGTTTTTATAGCGCCATAAAATAGTACCAATTTAAACTTTATTTTTTATTTTAAGATATACATTATTTTTATAGTTCGTTGCTTACTTTTTTAAATTTATTCCATCCAACCGAACGCTCACGTAAAATATTATGAACGATGGGACGTTATAACTCGAGAAATACATTTTTCAATATTAGAAACTGTGGTCTATTAAAAGACGAATAAATAACTAAAAACTAAAAATAATCATAAAATCGAGACATTAAAGTATTGTTGGAAAACAGCTATTTAATTGACATCCACTTTATAATTGTAAGATACATGGAAATAAAGTTATACGCCGTCAAAAAAGCACTAAATCGTCATGCACGGTAGGGTTTCACCTTAAGATAAAAAGAGGCAGAGCCGTATATGTAGAGAGTTTGACCCAGGACCGGCTTTATTAGGGGCGACCAACAGGTCACCCGAACCAGCGTGAACGCGCCGCATTTGCTTTTGCTTATTTGGTACTTCCTCTAGTTCGCTGAACTGCCTCCGCGTTTTTTGGCTCTGTAGCTCAACACACTAGCAGACGCTTTTGCATGTGTATCTGTGTGTGTCCGCTCCATGACCGGCGGATAATCGACTCTATTTGAGGATAATCGACTCTATTTTAAGGACCTTTCTCATCGTTATTGCGATTGTACGTTCGGTAAATAGCTACAAGCTGATCTAGAATATTCTTCTCTAATCAAGTGTTAACAACTTCCCCGAAACTTAAACCAAATACGCTACCATGCACATCACTGCCTTGCGCCAACCTTCGAACCTCCAGCACTTTTTCTGAACCGAGTCGAGATCCCAAGAACAACGCACATCCATTTCCTAGGTGTCATCATCGACCAGCATTTCGATTTCCATCGCTATGTCCAAAACGCCGTTTCCGGGGAAACGTGACTCCTTGGCTTCGTCATTCGGTCCACAAGAAGTGCCAGTCCCGATGTGCCCAAATTGCTGTTCACAGTACTGGTGTTGCCCATGCTGGAGTTTTCCTGCTCGGTGTGGGATTCGGCAACCAGGCAACTTGTTGCCTCCCTCGAGCCGGTGCAATGTCGCACTTACTACCTTATTATGAGGCGTCAACTTGGCCTCCGAACACCATCCTATCGAGCACTGCACTTCCTCCGTCCAGTCCGCAGGGACCCGATTCAACATCCACGTCAAGTAGCGACCACGCTGCTCCTAGCCACTTTTCTGCTACCGAACTCCTCGCTTCCTTGTGCCTCCTTCCTACGGCGTATTTGCACTGGTGGACTGCAGCCCTTTTTAACCCGTAACTTCGTCACTAGAACTCCCTCGCACCCCGTACCGTAGAACTTTAAAAGCCCCCCCTTCCCCCCCCCCCCCCCCCCCCAGTCACCAGCTCACTACCAAACGACAGTGTCTTACCTCGAACATTCACCAAGAGCGTTACGGCCCACCTGCGGGACAACTAACTCGACTTTTTATTCCGATCACGGAGTGGGCTCCAGCAGGCGGACTGGATGTACCATCCTGTATGATGCACCCTATTGATGCTGAGCTCACAATACTGACTATTCCGCTCGAGAAAACTATAATATAGTGACTAAATTCAACCTATTATACACATTCTATGTGCTAGCATTAGCGCCTGCCTATTAAATGTGACAAAAATAACCTGAAACCAACGTTATTTCCACACGTTCCCATTGCCTTTCATAGCGGCCGCCGCGGTTTTGGTGTGGAGCTAAGACGGCGCCTAGTGGAACACTCGGTCCCTCCAAGCCGTTCACGTGATATTTCTTGGCCCGCGCGCTCTCATAGGCAAACGCGGAGTGACAGGGTCGCCCCATTAAAGCCGGTCGTGGTTTGGCCATTCATTGGGAAGTATAGTAGACAAATGAGGAGGCGTCATTGACTGCTGGGCGTGTTCCTGAGCGTCTTCAGAATTCATGTCAACGTCAACGTAGAACCTATTTTTGCCTAATATGCGGGCACAAGAAATGAGCGCCGAAGAGACTAACTTACCAGCGCAGTCTTGTCTCCGTGTTTGATGAGGGACCGGCGTACGGCTTCGAACATCGAAATCTCAGCAGGAGGGTGCTCAGGAAATGGCGAATAGACGATGCCGTCCTCAATGCGTGCTCTCACCATCTTCACTTTACTGTCTCGAAGTATTGCCTGCCCGCGCAGTGCTTTCTGAACCCACCGCTTTCAGGTACTTGTTCGCAAGGATGTAATTATCTGTAACAGCAAACGATGTGTAAAGCGGAATTTTGTTACAGTCGTTATTTGAATTAAAATCAAAGGCATTTATATATTATACTATTGGCTGCCTACAATGCATGGTTATAAGATATAGGCTGTCTACGATGAGACAAACATATTTGCGAGGATCAACAGCGAATAAATTCGCAGGCAACCCAGTTGTAACTTGTGGCGTCATCTCTTGACAGTCTCATCGAACAAAATAATGCGTCGTCTCCTCGCGAAGCCTATCAAAAGATAACTCCACAAAAAAGAAAAAAAAAAAGAAAAAAAAAGCTCTAATCGCGAACACGTTCGACGTTGACCTTTTCAAGTTTTGGGTGTCATTTTCTACAAGAAGAGAGCTATTCCTACTCTTTTCATGTCTACCAGGTAAAATACACTGCACTAATGCACATTCCCTGAATATGTAAGATTTCTATATTAATGGCTCTGATCTCTGCGGCTTTTATTACAGCACGAAAATTCATTTAGATGTTTCTTCGTAACCGCAATTCATTGCGCCAACGAAAATATTCCATGAAGACAAAGTACACGAAAAATGCGAAAGAATGAGGCGAATTCAGGGAAATTAAAGCCGTCCCCTTAAAACTCCTATTCAAAATAGCAGCTAAATATCATCACGAATAACGAAAATTATCCCTGGAGAAGAGAAACAAGGGGGACAAAGGGAAAAACACAATTCTCCGAACACAGCTAGGTGACTTATGCGCGAACGAATAAATCTGCCTGGACCTGGTATCGAACCAGGGACCTCTCCATTTCCAGTGCAGTGCGTTACTAACTAAGCTAACTAGGAGTTAGGCGTGAGTAGAGCAAACGGTGTTTATCAGCTGCCACCAGTCTAACACCAACAGGGGTGAACGGCCAGCATTTTAAGTTTATGATGATAATGGCATTAATGCAAAGGTTCAAGCGAGCTGTACAAAAATTATGAAAAATAATCGCTGCCTTATCAAGTATCATCAAATATTATCAAAATCTGAAACGAAATAAAGCTATTCTACTTCTTCTTTAACCGGGCTCCCGATTTACGTTACTGTATAACAGCGTGTTTTGATCTAAATACGTTAATCTTAAATATAAACATATTGACCTGTTCCTTAACATATACGTAGTGTTTTTCAGTTATTATGTTTATTTTACAAGTAAATTGACAGTATTCATTTATAATTAGGCGTGAGTGAACCACGGCTCAAAGTGAATAGCACAGCGTTATTCTTAGCTTTAACACTGCAAAACGAGCCCGATTGCCGTCGGTTTTCCCAGCACTATCAGTAATGTATGAAACGCTGTGCTACTCGATTCGGGCATGCCTATTCGCACACTCCTACTTATATATAATCTCTGACATTCAAAATTGACCTTAAATTGTTGTAACACCAAATTATAAAGTTTTCAGAGGCAAATGTATTTCAATGGGCGAGAATACGCCAATAAAACTGCACGGATAATTTTGAGTGCGACTTTATATAAACAATTTTTTATCTCCCGCGCCACTAATTGTTTTAAAACTAAACTAACATAATTCACGATTAAAAGAACAGGAGAGAGAGAGAGAGGCTGGGATTGCAGCCTTTCTCTCCAGTTTCTCCTTTCCCTACTCTTGAACATGTATACAATGGTACGTAATACGCTTTCTACATACAGCTTTGGTTGTACTGCAGGGTTTTAGTAGGACGAAATATAAAGAGAGTCTGGCCAATGGGAGGATCCGGAGGACGCCGGGGTGGAGCGGCGAAAGCGGCAACGCTGCCAGCGTCGAATATTTTCTCCCGTCATTAACTTGAGAAGTTCGAATGCGCTGGGATTACCTTAAAAAATTCAAATAGCGCGGTGCATTTCTTTTTAGATGACGATGCAAGTACATGAACGTATAATTATAAGGTGTAGTAGAAAATAGGAGTATCAAGGTGCTTCGCGCAATTCCTGAGCCGGGAAAAGTGACATCGACGAGAACAGTTCCTGAAAAAGGAGACGATGCTGCGAAGGTGGGGTGCGGGTTTGGGGTTTGGGTCAAAATGCCCAAGGAGCCGAATCCTCAGTTTTTACTGCCAACTTCGTCGTGGCCGCGGTCGCCAGTACAGTCAAAAGAAAGTTTAAGTGTGTTTTGAATGTCGCCGTGACGACAACGTCACGTGCACTGTTCTTTCAGTTACGAAGGGTTGCAAATCTCAAATTTAGATGATAAAATCAAATACTTGAGTGCATACTTACCTATAAATCGTGACTGGAGGCTATTCGTTAAGTTCATTGCCTCTGCTAGGGGAATATTTGAGGCTAGTGGTTGGTCACAAGAGCTGTCAATCATCGCTCCCAATGTCATTAAAACAATTTCGGCTTATCACATGCCTTTTATTTCTCCAAATGTTTACCAAATAATGACCAAACTCCCTACATATCTGGGCGCAGTATCAACGTCTTGGAAAACGAAGCAAGCGAAAGCGTGGCGGATGCAACTGCTCGTGTGTTTTGCACCTCTTGGCTATATCGGCCTACCTAACATTTGGAGTATCATTTTTCTTAAATACTATCGGCGTCGCACTGTGTTTTTTTAAGCAATTAAATCAGTTTCCACTCTATTAGGGCGAGGCAGTGCACACATGTCCAAACCTGAGCTGGTTTTCTTGAAAGCTAACAGTGGGTTAAAATTTACTGTTGTATCTAGAAAAAGGAGTGTTCAGCCATGTGACTGGGAGAGCAGGGGCGCCGATGTAGAAGGAGTACACCCGCCGGCAATGTGAAGGTGAACACCTTACCTGGTTTCTTGTCTGTTTTATGGCTCCCTAAAACTATATTAACCCTCAACATCTCAAATGGTACGTGGCTTGGGGTCTAAACTTTGCGTTCTATCCCTCTTCTGGAACAGAGCTTTATCCAAAACTTGCAGGAGCGTCAAAAACAAGAAGAGGGCTGTTCACTTTCATATCGCTCACGGATGTACCTACAAGCAAAATGACCGCGATGTTGATCGGGGTTTATGATGCTGGTGAACATTAATCTGGTGAACATTAATTTGAATCCGGCTTTTAAATTAATGTCGCAAAATTAACCTATTTGCATAGAAAGTCGTCCGCTTATTGTGCAGGAGTTGCAGTGACGCCAGAACGACGCCGAGCTCCGATTGGCTTTGATTGATAGAATACGCGGTCGACCTCAATGAGAGTCGCCTCGAGAATTACCCACTATACTTTTCAATCAGTCAATGACAGCACGGTGTTCTATTATCATCGCAACTCCATTGCAAGAAGTAGACAAACTTCCGCTCCGCATTAGCACGTCAAGCAAAGCGAGCAGTTCAGAGGGACTTCTACACGAACCGACGGCGCACTCTGGGATTCAAGACACACGACGGACCATAATCAGTCCAAGTGTATTTTTTTATTTTTATGGCGACTACAAAAATGTTTTGCGAATAAGTGTTATTTATATCCAGGCACGCACCCGATTTTGGCGGGGAGGGGGGGGGGGGGCTAGGGCTCCGCCTCCTCTCCCCCCTCCGCCTCATAAAGCATTTTGTCATGCCGCCCCCCCCCTCCTCTAACCCCCGAAACAAAATCCTGGCTACGTGCCTGGGTATATCTATACTAGTGCGCTTAATTTCGTGCGTTATGAACGTCAACTCTTGAGTAGCGATTAATTTTAGGCGAAAGGGGGTTGCTATCGATAAAGCTTTTGTTCGGGGTGCACAGCTGGTACGTTTTTGTCTATTTCGTGTTTGCACTGCGCCGACAGCCTCGAGGTTTCTTGACACATATTCGAGGTGGCCAGCAACACCGTGACAACGGTGTTGCTGACGGTGACGAGAAACATAAGGTATACGCTGAAGCAGAGCCGCTGCGTCTCTTTCTGGCCGCGACGATCGGTACATCCTCTAGTGAGAAGGGTTCGAACGCGGTATATAGTTCAACCTTCTTCATGTCGTTTGTAAAAGTTGCAGAAACGAGAAATAAACGAGTACTTACCCCAAAGAAAGCGGACGAAATGTTCTTTTCGTGTTTTTTTTTCCCTTTTAAAAAGGAATGCAGAATGAGCTTGGGTCTTATTGTTGTATGTAGCTAAACGCAGCTGTGCAGGTAGAGAAATCAAAGTTGCAGGCGATTATATCCTGCCTGCAAACGTCGATTAAAAATGGAACAAGCGTCAGCATCAGGGGATTGCGCACAGCGGAAAAAGATATGGCAGTAGACGAGAGGTTGCAGTTAATTCGGGAAGTGAGGGTCAAAAGGGGACACAATATGGGAAACTTTAGTCCTACAGTCACCGCAGACTCAAAAAACAGGCCTCGTGTGACATTGCCGATGCAGTCTTCAACTACAACATTAGTCTGTTTTTATTTGAATTAGCATACAAGATCAACTACAACCAGCTCGAAAACCGAAACACAAACAAAATGACTGCCTTGTTTTACCTATAGATGACGTGTAATACTGCCTGATCATAAATAATTAGTTGTTCTATATCCAACCGCTTATTAGAGTACCTAGGTACATTTTTTTCATTTCTAGGTACGCTGGTTTACCCAAATTATTGTGCATTTTACATCACACGGAATACAGTTCAATTGGACCGTCTTCTGTATGATGTAGGAGCAGTGTGACCCAGGCGTTAAGGATAGGTGCAACGATTTTCGAACTTTGTCCAAATAGTTGTGGGAGTTGGCCTCGGTCATTTCTAAATCCAAGAACAAAAAACTATTTCTGCTTCCGTGCGCTAGTTTGCATTTATGAAAATGGCAAATACAGAAGTTTCGGCGCTTGTCAACTCGTACATCGGCGACAAGGTACTTTGAAGTCACGTGCGCAGTGACATCTCGAGGGGAGCGTGCCACTTCCGGATGGGCTCTGTGACCTCTGTTTTTAGGTCCTCCAGCTGTCCTCCTGTGA